TATCCAATAACTATGCTCTAAAGTTAGGGGGCACTCGACCATCATTCCACACTTTAACATTGCGGGCGGCGGTGAAATACGGTTGAGGCAACAGAACAAGAAAGCGTCAGCGAAGGGAACAGTATGAGAAAGTGCCGGCGTCTTTCAAATCTGCAGTGTGAGGACATTTCAGTTTTGCCGGTAAGTATAATGCCAATAAAAGAAAAAACGGTGGACAAAAAATAACTGTGTGCAAGCTTTGTTTTACACGCATAACCATGACTGCACATCTGCAGCGCCATCACCCAGCAATATCACTGTATCAAGGCAGAATGGCAGAGAAGGTAATAAAGTTCTCCAAATAGCAACAATCCCTCGCTGAATCTTTCAAGCAGACATACCCAACTGGTTCCGAGAGACACATAAAAATAACAGGCAGTGCGGGTGTTTATTAATAGAGATTTGCAGGCGTTAAAAATGAATAATACAATGTATATAACATATTTAATTGTAACCTTTTTAAAAACAAGTACAGTTTAAAAATATATACTTAACTACACATGACAAGATCACAGTTTTACTGTAAAAAATATATATTTAACAAACCTTGCAGGGAACATGCAGCTTTGTTCTCTGTACAGCTTTTTACTGATTATTTGGTAGTGAGTGCCAACACCTCTGTTGACTGTGTCTGCCATGAGACCTTCAGAAATGCCATTTTTAAATGGCCTAAGGTCATCTTTCAGGACACTGCAATGAAAAGAGTTATGAAGAGGAGTATGTATTATACAGTGACTTATAATGCATATATTTAATTGTAAAATAGACTTTAAGTTAACCTCTGATAACAGGTGCAATTATCTTGACTGCAAGGCTGATAATTTTTTGTAGCTTCTGTAATCTTTCTTATGAATGTCTGCCATTGTTTTGCTGATGGTAAATAAGAGAGGAAACTTTCAGATTTGCATGTAATAAGGATCAGGAATAAAACCAAAACACAAAATTTAGACCATTAAAAAAAACAAAATAAATTTACTTTTAACAACATTTTAAAGTTGTTACAGTAATACACAAAACACTGGAACCTAGTAACATAAGTACATGTTACAATTTCAAACTGAGAAAAGTAAAGAGAAAAAAAGTTTGGAGGGAAAAAAATTATAAAGAGGCAGGCAGACAACTCGGGTACAGAAACACCAGAGTAACTTATGTGAAAAATGTTAAAACGTTTAAAAAAATCACCAAAAGTGAACAACAAAAGTAGATAATTGTACACATCAACAGACATTTCTTTAAATTCTTACCGTTATCTGAAACACAAAATTCTACGCCAGTCTGCAAAATAATGAAAGAAACCATAAGCAACCACATTCGCTCCATTTCTCTGCTTATATTTCTTCTTGTAATTTTAAAGTCGGTCGGAATACAACTTCAATGCGCATTACTGCCATCTGCTGGTTAAAAGTGTTTTCCTTCTGAGAGTATGCCTTCAAAATTCACACTAGTCACGGTTGCCTTGAATTGAGCTCAGGCGCCCTCGTCACCCCCTCTCCCTCTCGCCCCGCACTCAACTTTTGATTACATATATATTTTATGTTAAATATACAAAGAGGCCTTACATGCACAAACACAAGCGTAAAGTAATACACTTACAACAGTGGGCAGACAAAGGTATGGAACAATGTTTGGTAATGACAATTGTACATCAAACTAAAAAAAGAGAAAAAATTATATAGAAAAGTTTATACAATATAATTTTCAAAGGGTTGTGAAGGGGCTATAGGGTACAAAGTTCGCTGAAAAAGTACCTACTTTAGTAGCTTTATCATTTGATAAAGTACAATTATGAGGCTATAATAGCAAGTTTAGTAATAAAGTGTAAAATAGAAGTGGCTAATTCTGCTAAGTATAAAAGGTTTTTAAACAGGAAATGCTGCATATAATCTTCTTTAGTTTACACAAGATTTATGCGTCGTTAGCCAAAAGGGTGAAAGGATTTATATGGATATTAACATAAGATATTCTGTCACTTGTATGAGCCCAAAATAACCCTAAGTGGATGCAATTGAAGGCAAAATTGACAAATGTTGCGCTCAATGTCAAATTTTAGTGCTAGGAATTCTTTTGATAGTTATAGTCCTACATCATTAATGATTTTAAACTGAAGCTCTTTAATTTTGGGGAAACTTGGATAAGAAATGTAACTTGTCCTTATTATTTTTCAGTTGAAAATCTTTAAAAAAGTGAAACTTACATTTTGGATCTCTAAAACAATAAGTGCCCAAAAATATAGTTGGAAAAGAAAACATTATAAAGGAATGCATTTGAATACTATCTATTTTTAGTAATAGCCTTAATAATTGAAAACTTTTTAGGGTGACAAGCAAAACCATACAGAAGTTGTTGTAACTTAAAACGTCACAATGGCCATCAATTATATCTAAGAAAGAATATAATTTTAACTCAAATTTTTATACAATAAACACTTATTGTGATATAAACCAAAAAAGATTTTTCTATAAACAAGTTTTTAATAAAAAAAAAAAATGTGAGAAAAGGCTTGTTTCCAGCACAATAGGATCTGAGGGTGAAACAAAGGCAGTTTAAGAGACAGTTTAGCTGATCAAAAATCAGTACCACCAACTTTTCAAAATACTGCAGAAGAAACTGTAAACCAAATACTGTTTGTATTACAAAAAAATGGGATTGCATTTTTAGAACCTCGTTTATGAAATCCAGGTCATTTAGGCCCCCTTCTTCATAACTACAAAGTCATTGTTGTTTATGTAGTTCTTCATTGTTGTTGTTTTTTAGATTAAAAAAAAAAAAATTGCACTACTATTTTCTTAAATAAACTGGGGGATAGCTAGTGAAGATGCTGGGTAAACAAATCTAAACTGCAATTCCATTTGGTTAATAAAATTCATCGGAATATTGAGACATGTCTCTGTAACCAACTATTAGGAATATACATATATTTTTGCTTATAGAAATGTATTTACAAAATTTTTATGAATATTAAGATTACTGTTTTTAGCAGCAGTAATTCCTATGTATTTTATGGAGGTTTGAACCGGTATATTGCATAAAAAGTCTAAATCAATACTACCATGACCTGCAATAAATTTACATTTATTTATATTTAGGTGTAGCCCATGCATTAGCGAAGAGATTAACTAAATGAAAAAACTTTGTCAATTTGAAATTTGTCTTTTAAAACAAGGGTCATATGATCAGCCAGTTGAATAATGGAGATTTGTTGATTGTGCATCCTAAGTTTATCAAAACTAGTATAATTTTTTATCAAAATACTATGCATTTCTACAGCTAGAATTAGGAAAGGGGAAATAAGACACCCTTGACTAATTTCTAAAAAAAAAAAAAAAATCTCTAAGATGTCCCATATGATAGTGATATAGTTCTCTTAATAAATTTATATAGCATTTAAGTTAAAGAAATAAATGTATTGCTAAAGCCATATTTTATCGGAGAATCAAATATAAAGCTGTGTTACTTTGAATCAAATGGTTTCCTAAAATCCAAAAACAGAATGTAACCATCATACTCAATACACTTCTAATAATCTATATCTAAAACTAAAATAATATTATCGTAAAATTAATTGAAGGGAGAGGATTTTCTGATAAATGTCTGCTCCAGGATGGAGTAACACATATCCTTTCATGCCTTCATGATTAATAATAAAGTTGAATGTTTAAGAGCCTAGATTATGTGATGAACTTAGTGTCATCCCACTTCAGAGTAACACTGGAATAATGTGTGTTATTGCTTTTTCTCTATGCCAAATGATTTGTTTTCTCTGGATCTACACTGTTAGACTTTTTATTGTATCTTTGTGGTAGCTTACTGGCAGCACGGTTGCCAGCAAGCTACTATAATTTTACAGTAGCTTAGCAGAAGTGTTTTACAGTACTATTGCCTTACCGCAATTTCCGATTATGGTAAAAATACCTTTACCACAAATTATTTTACAGTATAATAATATTACAGTACTGTAATATTAACTAATTTTACTGTAATTTATTTCAATTATGGGGTTGCCCCAGCGGAATGATACACCAACTTATCCAGTATATGTTTTATGCAGTGGATGCCCTTCCAGTTGCAACCCATCTCTGGAAAAAATCCATACACACTCATACACTACGGACAATTTAGCCTACCCAATTCACTTGTACCGCATGTCTTTGGACTGGGGTGGGAAACCAAAGCACCCGAACGCAGGGAGAACATGCAAACTCCACACAGAAATGCCAACTCACCCAACAAAACATTTTAAAAATGGATGTAAGGTAAAAATAACTTTTATAAGTTCACTGAGTAATCATCGAACTTAAATGTTTATTTCTCTGTACTTAAATTACAGCTTTTGAGACAATATTGGTTGGTATCAGCTACTATAAGAACGTCTGCAATGTTTATGAATAGTGAATGGTCACATCTAAATTTTTCAATTGGTCCAAATGAAATTAGGCAATGTGATTTTTTTTTCCAATTGTGGCAACAGCTTTTAAACATTGGCTTAATGAGAAATAATGTGTTGAGCCAACTGAAAAACCATTCAATTAACTGATTATGTAATTGGCCCAATTAAATATTTTAAATTGCTGTAGCATGCTTATTTGCTTACACCTAATTTAAAAATGTATATTGGGAAATTTACGTTGCAAAAGCAAGTTTACTGAATTGTTTATTTTCTGTTCTCCAAAAAGAAAAATGAATAATAAAATATTGAGGCATTATTGTGAAAATACATTTCTACAAAGTAAGCATTACAAAGTCATTTGCATTTGAATTTTACAAAACATGCATGTAATTAAAACATTTACAGACGTGCAAAAAAGCCATTTGTAAATTCTTTTATGTTTTTACACCAAATGTAAATATTTTTTCTGAGGTTACTTTAAACATTGTTTAGTGTAGTGTCACCTGAATATAACCATTCCACAAAAGGTACTCTGATCTCATCGTATCACATTTTTATTTCTTAAATCAGTTCATTAACATTAAACATCAATTACATTGATATATTAAAAGCATCAAAAACCCCATCAAATTTAAACAATGGAGTACTAAACCCAGTTTACACAGAACAGAAAAAAGTCTTCCAAAAGTCTTTTGAAAAAGTACTTGAAGCTGCATCTTCAAATATTTACTATATGAACATGTATATAGAAAGTCATTGTTATACTCCATGTTGAGTAGAAAAATCCACAAAAAAGCACAAAAATACATTGATAAAGCCTTTGAAAGTTCATCATGCTGCTAATGCTTACGGTTTCAAGAATTCCTATCTTCGTTGTAGTTGTGAGGTTGTCCAATAGCTCTCTATGTTAAAATATCATAAAAAGACACAAAAAAGGGGTTTGTTTCACACAAAACTGAAAATTCTGAAAATTTACTCTCCCTTCACTTGTTCCAAACCTGTTCGTCTTACTTTCTCCTGTTGGAACACAAAAGAAGGATATTCTGAAGAAAGCTGGAAACCGGTAAGACTTCTATAGTAGGAAAAACAGACTATGAAAGTCAGTGGTTATATTCAGTTTTCTTCAAAATATCTGCTTTTGTGTTTTACACAACAAAGAAACTCACAAAATTAGTGGTTTTCATTTTAGGAGAACTATCCCTTTAAGAATCACAACAAATCAATGTTTAATATTTTCAAGCTGAAATTCTATTAGGCAGAGTTGTGTTTTATGTAATATTTCAGTTTAAAGTAAATGTGTAAGGCTACAGTAGAACTAACTAGTAAAATATAACAACCAGAACTTGAGAAACCCCTCACTAGTTAACTCACAGCACATGGTGAATATCAATAAAGCAACTACACACGTTACCATCTTAGAGCTAGTAGAATTTGAGACTGATATGGAATAAACATATACCCAATTGTTAAAATGGTATTTACTGTAAAAGTGCTTATTTGCACCTTGCCCTGCTATGGCGGCTCCACTGGTGGAAAAAAACATGTTATAGCAGATATGGTTCTTCCATCATAAATTAATAATTTAATAACAATAAACAAAATATATAAAACCATAGGTTAGATATCAATATTACAGGTGCGTAATGTTTGCAATTAACATAGACATTAAGTTAACGTTATTGTGTCCATCATGTCAGAGGTAGCAGGCTAACGTAATGCCCGTGCTGTTCGTTTTTATGTCTAAATCACTGAGACTTACACTTGGTTAAACCTAAACATGACTTAATAAATACAGAATTCGGTACTCAACATAACTTCATCATTTTCTTTGTCCCTTTATTAATCTGGGGTCACCACAGTGGTAGCAGAACAAACTGCCAACTTATCCAGCATGTTTTATGCATCGGATGCCCTTCCAGCTGCAACCTATCTCTGGGAAACATCCATACACTATGGTCAATTTAGTGTACCCTCAATTTACCTTTACCGCATGTCTTTGGACTGTGGGAAAGAAGCACCCAAAGGAAACCCACGCGAACGCAGGGAGAACATGCAAACTCCACACAGAAACACCAACTGACCCAGCCGAGGCTCGAACCAGCGACCTTCTTGCTGTGAGGCGACAGCACTACCTACTGTGCCACTGCATCACCGTCACTAACTTTTATAAAGGAAAATGTGTCTGATGATGTTTTGGTAGATCTTCACCATTGCTGCGCTGGAATAGGAATTATGTACCAGCTGTGGCACCGACCACCGGCTCTCAGTCGCACGCATGCATTTTTTGTTACAAGGTTTGTTGGCTAAACTGATATATTTGCCTTCCCTTTGATAAATTAGCTGAGCACAATTTAATATGTTTGGTGTTACAAATATATATTTTTTATTTTAATTTCAGACAAAGGGGGGGGGGGCAATTATTCATTTCCTTTTTTGGCTTAGTCCCTTTATTGATCGCCACAGTGGAATGAATCGCCAACTTATCCAGCAAATTTTACGCAGATGACACCCTTTTCACTGCAACCCATCTCTGGGAAACATCCATACACATTCATACACTACAGACATTTTTGCCTACCCAATTCACCTGTAACGCATGTATTTAGACTATGGGGGAATCTCATGCGAACGCAGGGAGAACATGCAAACTTCACACAGAAATGCCAACTGACCCGGCCAAGGCTCGAACCAGCGACCTTCTTACTGTGTGACGACAGAACTACCTACCCCCGTGAGGCGGGTGACTATGGTCCGTAAGGTAATCAAACATCAAAGATTGAAGAATTGGAGTCCATGTAAATGTACTCAGTGAGTGTGCCAGATGATGTCTCCAGCTGTCAAAGACATTTCTCTGCCTAAGCTGATTCTATGCGCCCTCAAATGTTTCAAGTTTGACATTTTCTTTAACAAATCTTTTTACTTTGTCTTTCTTTTAATTGAAACATGACACTGTCTTGCCTTGCATCATTACACATTTGAATTTAACAATAGCATTGTTGTTGTAAAACTGTCATTTTACCAATAATGTCATTATAATCAGAGAAAGGTGTACCAAGCATTGTCATAGCACAATCTGTGTGAGGGTCACACTTAAGGTGCATTCACACTAGGCTATCTGAACCGTGCCCAGTTCGTTTGACAAGTGTAGGTGCTCTGAACCAGGCCCAGGCTTGGTTCAGTTGATCAGCCCTGGCCTAGTTAGAAGTGTGCCAGAGTGCGGTTCAGTCGGGCTTTGGCACTGTATGCTAATAGTGTGAGTGCAAAGCGTGCCGAACTGCATGAGTACAAAACTAAAGTGCTAAACTGAAGACACGACGTAACTTTTAATGGACTATTTCATATAGATTAATTATTCATTCTTACTTTTCAGTAAACACAAACTGTCATAGTCTATTAAAGTTACAAACCCCTCGCTGCACATCAGCTGCCACATTCACCAAACCTCCTAATACGTGCAGCACAAGGACTTTTATGATATTTTATGAGCGTCAAAAGTGGTGGATCTGTTCGGCAAAATATTTAACTGCATATCACTGCATATACAACAATATAACTAAACAATATCCACTGTGCTGAGTGAGCGCACATTTTTTTCTAGTTAAACTGAACCGTCACATCATCGATAATGCAAGTGTGCTCAGGCTCGAAAGGTAAAATGCAATGTGAGTGCAGGCTGTCAGGGAAAAAGAGAGGGGGGATTGCCACAGAATGTTTTAAACATCTCCAACAATTGCTGAACATTTAACAGACCACATCTAAGACTTCAAGCAATGCCTGTTTCTGCTCTGATTTGTAAGCAGTTTTATCTTTTACTTTTTGTGTTAAAGCTCCAGACAACAGGCAAGCAGATTCTTAACAAGACACATAGTGGAGCGCGGGGCACAAAATAATATGGTATTAAATGCAACACAGAGTTTTAAAGGTATTTGCTCAGGGTTAACCATGGCATGCTTTTGAGGTTTTCACCACAGTGTCAGCAGACGTCAGCCTGCCAAATATTGAAGACAATGGCAAGATTTGGATGAGAAACACAGAAGAAACACTTTTTTTACAGCATAAAAGTATTTTTTATGACAGTCGATATTTTCTATTTAAAAGTAAATAAATAAATAAAAATCAGTAAAGGTATGCAAGTAGAATATTATATTATTGTGATTACTGTATTCTAGGCTAAAAGATAAAACCATTTTGAAAGATGTAAAACACAGTGACTGCTAGCCAGTTTAGAGGAAAACGCAACACAGAGGGGTTAGTTGTAATAGGGTGCTACCAATTAAACAAACAAAATATTTTTTGGAATTCTGAGTTAAATGTTGGTAACTTTTTAAATAAAAATGTATTAAATAGAAAATTGTTTTAATTATATATATATATATATATATATATATATATATATATATATATATATATATATATATATATATATATATAGGCTTTTGTGTTATTTGTAAAAAATATGGTTTAACCCTATTACTTTTATTATTTAACCAAAACCAAAAAGAGTTACTTTGTACCCCGCTTTCCCCTACATCAGCATATGCATATTTGTACACCTCTGCATATTCTAACTTCTTTAGGCAATCTAAAGGATCTTGCTCAGTAGGATTAAATTTCCCAAAATTTGCAATCACAGCTTCCATATTCTTTTGTCTACGGTTTAACCCAAATGAACTAGATGTAGAATTTATGACATAGGTTTCTGAAAAGCGCTAATAAAGCTACAAGTGGGTGTGACAAACTGTTGCCATTTTGTTGCATGTTATTGCGCTGACCAGGGGGTAACGAAAAAGGGGTAAAGAAGTGGAGCATGAGTGGAGCTACAGATGCTTGCTAGCACTTAGCTTAGACTGCCTTTTCTTTGGAAGAAATGCTTAATACTTCATTACCTGCAATTTATTTGTGTTCTGACCATGTGTGCTTGGTTGTAAACTATATCAATAGTGTTTAGTCTTTTAAAAACACTGTTGTACATTGATCCACTAAGCATTGTTCTTATGATGTTTTTCAACAGGAGGAAAATGCTCTAATCAGCCGGAATCAGCTGAGGTGACATGTTAGCGGTCTAACGGTACAGGTGCCAACTTATAAATTTGTAAGTAAAAAATTTAAATATTTATTTATAAAGTCAGTGCTACATAGGATATACTAGTAGTGCAGTAACCCTAGTAACCCTTTTGTAGAACTAAAAAATAAATCAAACAGAACTAAAGTAGTTTAAAATGCTGTTAAACATTATTCAATTAATATTCCTCAGAGTAAACATAGAATGGTCTGTGTGTTACTGCTTTTTTGTGCGCCAAATGATTTGTTTACTCAGGATCTACCAAGCATTTATTCATTTTTAAATGATTCTGTTATAAGAAGAGAAGGTGTCTGCAAAAGTCGGATATGTTAATTTTAATATTCTGATAAGAAGCCTGCAGTAGAGCAGGACAGCCTTAAAATAGGTAAATATTCTTTATGTATGTGTTCATGCTCTTCATTGATGGAGACATGAAGACAAGGATTTCACTTCTGATCAACCTGACTACAGAAACATCCTTCTACAGTATGTCATATCTGAAAATATTGTTTAGAATTACACACACACATGGACATTTTCTGTCTATCTGTATTTTAACCAATCAGGTTAAAATACCTATATGTATGATTCATTTAAAGACACATTATTGTATAATTGTAGTTTTGAGATTGTAAGCAGAGTGGCCTACAAACTCTGTGTAAGTGTTGAAGCTGGCTTCTGATGACCTGCAAACAATCCTTGGTAAACTTTGGTTTATTGAACCTCTTTTGATTGGCTCTTCTTCATCTGAAAGACAGGTTGTTTTTGAGTTAAAACTGTTGGTTCCCCAACAGACAATTTAAATTTAGAGTGACTGGACATATATGCTTTGTGAATTTTTCTTATCAGCATTATTTAATTTAATAGTTGTTGGTTAACTATTTTAACCAGAAGACCAAAAAAGACTATTAAATAATTTAATAACAAAGAGCCACAACAAAATGATGTAGAATTATTAAAAGTACTTATGTTTAATCAACATTGTTTCAAACTGCAAGTATAAAGAAAGCAAATTCTATAGCCACCTTTTGTATTGGCGATTTTTGCTGTCAGTCTGAACCTGCAGTCTGTCATTACATTTACAGATGAATGAAATGCATATCATTATAAACGAATAATATTTGCTGATTCTGATAGCGTCACTGGCCCATGTAGAAAAAATCGTTCTAGAGAAGCTGCTTAGGTCTGAACCAATTCGAAAGCAATTGCTGGCTCTAAAATTTTTACGTTTTTTCCTACAATAAGGCAAAAACCTTTACCGCATACAAGTATCAAAAAGTATCATCAATAGTTCAGCCTATTGTAATATTTCATGCATCGAAATCTAAACAGCATTATGTTAGTTCTAAGAGGTTTGCAGGTGCTTTCTGAACACATTTTCATTGAGAGACTACAGGGACCAACACAACAAGATAAAATTGTCTTTTCCTATTCTAACTTGTTTCCATTTGTTTAGAGGTGATGTACTGGCTTTATTAATGATTAGTCTGAAAGTTGAATGGCATTTTCCAGCATTATAGGCTCATTTGTCATATTCTCCTCATCACCCTCTGAATCCATTGCCTCTGATGAGTCCTCTTTTTCAGCACCGTAGATCTCAGATGCTGTTCTTTTCAGTCCTCTCTGCTTAGCCAGAGCAGCAGCGTAGCGAATGTTGTAAATATTCCAATCGCAACTAGAAACAAAATAAATGTCTTTATTTCTGAGAAAAAAATTAGCAAGTGGCCTGACATATATTTGAAATTGATCCAAGAAACTGCTAAGAATGGACACCCAATAAATGCATTTAAGAAATCTATTAACTCAAAATTTTGAATACACAAAACTTACAGTTTAGACAGATCATCACTGTGTCTTTGGATGCTCTTCAGCAGCTGCTGTACAGTAGGCAGTACAAATCCAGGTCTTTACAAATAAAGAAACAAACAAACAAAACAAAATTAAAAGGACATTATTATAGTGGTTCCCAACAACAGACACAAATATTTTGGAGCAGTGTTATCTCCAGAAAAAATGGATTTTCCATTATCAAGATAAACTTTATGAGGTCTGCATATTCTGCAACCCTTATACAAAAAATATGTTTTGAAAACCTCACACTGATATTTTAGGATTTCTAAAATTATTAAAATAAAAATGTATAAAAGAACACAATGCAAATAACAGGTTTAAAAATGTTAGCCTACTTTAATTTGGGATTAAAGTGTGTTACTGATAAAAGCATATGGATGAGCTTAATCTAAAAAAATATTAATAATTGAACGCTGCCAACCGATTCTTGAGTTTCTGTCCATGTAAAGTGAGCAAACACTGAGCCCAGGTAAGGTAGAACTGCAGGTGGTTAGACTTTTCCAGTGTTGAGGCCACAAAGTTTAGAAGCTTATCCACATACACATCTGGCAATGAGCTGCATACAACTGTAACTGAAGCATCAAATAATACAATTTTAATAATGGCAATAAAATTACACATTTTGAATATGAAAAAAATTGAACAGATTTAACTGTTTTAAGAGGGAACACACTTTGATCAAAAGGGATTGCCTCCAGAACTTCTCTAATGAGCAGAATTTCATTTAGGCGAAAAGACAGCAAGATGGCGGAAGCCCACTCTTTTTTGGTAATCTGCTGACGTATACTTGTTGGTGTGACATCAATATCCAGATCATAAGGGTCAAACACTAGTGCAGCATCAAGAGAGTAGATCAGCAAACCTTCAGTGGATGCTGCAGCCCAACTGCGCCCTGAAAGGAGAAGCATGCGAAAAATGTATTGCACTGCCTGTTGTTCAATTCAAACATTGGAACAAATTCTGTGCAAACATCATGATGAATTTTTAAATATGCTGAAAATAATGCCATGTGTCACTTTTTACAATTTTTTTCTTAAAGTTCTGTTAAGGTGTTGTGTTGTATAGATAAAACCATACCAGTAGGTGAGAAGCGAAGAGAGCTAACACTGATCTCTGGTTTAAAGCATCGGGTGCTCATATCACCTAAGAGATGAAGAGAAAAGGGATTTAGTGATATGTATAAAAGCTTGCAAAACTGAATCCAATAATAATAATATTAACAATAATAAACTATATAAATAAAACCGACTGGCAAGATTATTGGTAAAAATGTGGACTCGCCTTTCTTGACTCCAGGAAGACTGAGCTCCACTCCGTTTCCATCCCCAGTGCCTTCATCCACTAAAGACAGACTACCAAACTCGGTCATCTTACGCCTGTCAAGGAATTCCTAGAACAAGAACATGACAGATTTGCACCACAATCATTTTAAAATAGCAATTTTATGAAGATGGCATGGTGACAAATAATGATATGTTAAACAGAGCAATCAACCAAAATTTAAAGGAGTCCTAAACTGTGTAATTATTTTAATTCCTTAATTATGAACTTATCCAAGCAGGATTTACTTAGCATTTACTGTGCATATGGGTCTAATATTGTGAGGACCAAAACTCTTACACTTCTACACATGATAAAGCTCAAAACTAGTGATGTCCCGATACAACATTTCAACTTCCGATACGATACCGATGTTGCAGCCTTCAGTACGAACCGATACTGATATAAATTCGATATCAGCACAAATCATGAATACTTTACTTTTACCTATTTTGTTGAGTGGAATGTATAAATGGCTAGATCCAACTGAGAACAAAAGTCAGCAACAGTAAGTATGGAAAATAACGACCAATTTATTACCTATTGGTTGCATAAATGTGAACCTTTTACATAAGAATATATAAAAGAATAAATATTAAGACCCTAAAAAATTATTAATTAATTCTTAATTGAATAAACAAAATATATTTTTTTAAATGCAAAACACTAATTAAGGGTCACTACAGTTTATTTTTTACCATCAGCAAATAGTAAAAACAGCTGAGAGCAGGAACATAAGAAGAAAAAAATGTTAATTGACCAACTGCTAAAGGTTGAGTGTCTAAAGATTCAATTTCACAGTTTCTTGATGAATTTTTGATCCAGTTTTGAGCTGAAAAATATCTTGCACACTGGGCAACAGAAATAAGGAGTTATTGTTATAAGTTAAGTTGATAAAAATGTGCAGTATGGTTAGTGCAAACATTCACATGACCTGAGCTATTTAATCTGAGTTTGCATCATAAGATTATTGCTGTATCAATGTTCCCAAACAAAACATTATTAATTTTATAATAATATATATTGCACATATTATCTTTAACATAAATATATTTGCAGTAGCTGCAAACACACCTTATCTCCACAGCAAATAAAATAATGTGACTTTTAAGAATTTTATTTATCAAAATTAATTTTATTTGCATAATTTATTGCACAGATTCCACCCTACTTCCCACATGGGAAAGTATGACAGTGTAAAGAAAGACACAACTAAAAACTCATGTGCAAAGCTGACACTGTTTATCAGAGCACTTTATCTTTTTGGGCATTTTAAAGAAGAGTTAAACATGGGAATGCCTCTAATAAAATTCTGCCAGAAAGTAATACCATTCTTTCTTTTAAACTGTAATGGCCCTCAGCAACAAAATGAGTTCTTATTCTTTATTAATAGACAATTAAAACAACAAAGATGTTTAGCATTTAACACCTTTTATGTGACAGCTACTGAAAATGAAAGCAGAATCCGGGACATGTTAGGCGATTTAGAAATCCTGCCTGAATGCATTTTTCTCCAATAGAGGACATGTCTGGGAAAAAGCGGATGTACGTATTGTCACCCTAAATAATGAGCTAGATCAGTCTATTTAGTAAAAGGCTTTTCTTTGCGTGTCCTCGGGCTCTTCTTAAAGCTGTTACCACAGTCAGATGTCCAGCACGTCTCTGAAGTCTGAAGCAGCAGAGCATCGGAGTCTTTGGAGTTTCTTACGCACACAAAACCGGGCCGCTGAGGTGGATTGGGTATGTGTGGATTGGGTATCACATATAACTATAACTTTTTGGCAGCATGGTCTGAACCAAGTTTGGAGGAAATTTGGCCAACGATCAATGGCAAGTTAAAAACAACACATTTTCTGAGTATTTTAACATGGTCGACATGAATTTGACATAAATTCCACAATTTTTGGTTTACATAGTCTGAAGATGATCAGAGTTAAATTTGGTGAAGAATGGACCAACGGTCTAGGAGGAGTTAAAAAAAGAATGCCTTAAACAAAATCAAAATGGCGGACAGGAAGTTTGGCAGACTTTGGCATAATTGGTATCTGTGTTGTTGGCAGGATGCAAAGAATAATTTGAGACTAATTTCTTGAGCATATGCAGTAAAAAGTTATTACCAAATTTGTAAGTTTCATTATTAATAGTTAATGACTGTCTTATAACTCTTGACCCATAGGTGGCGCTGTCACCAAATTTTTATGGTGTGGTCAGTGAGGAGACAATGACAGACCTAAACCTTGGTGTCATTATCTGCAACTATGACAGAGACACAGCCTCAGATGTAATTGGGCATCATGCCATCACATTTGTCGGTGCAGTAAACAAAAATCGCTACACCCATCAACACAAACTCCATAACTTTTTGTCAGCATGGTCCGAAGATTATCTGAGTCAAATTTGATGCAAATAGGCCAAACTACGTAGGAGGAGTTCGAAAAAGTAGGTTTTTGACTTAAGGCTAGATGGCAGACAGGAAGTTCAGTTAATTAGGCATAATTGGTATGGATATTCTCAGAATATATCAAAACAAGTAAGACAAGTCATAACAATAGGCAAAATTAGACAAAAGTTATTAGCATTTTTATTAGGTGCTTGGCCCCTAATAAGAACCTCTGATGGCTCTAACACCATTTGTTCTGTTTTCACACCTCTGAGGGCACTGTCCTGTACTTCCCATGGTTGAGTCCGCAAAAAACTATGCTAATGAAGCTGCACTGAGACAAACATCAGAAAAGCATGGAAAAGAACCTCTATGTTTTAAGGCTGGTTTATACTTCTGAATCGTGCGAACGCAGTGACCCTCTGCACCTGCCTTGCACATAACCGTGCAATAAAACTTTTGCGTGCTGTTTGTGTTGCTCTGCAATAACACTTCCGAAATGCTAGCTGGCAGTAGGTTTAAATTATATTCCTGTGTCGAGTTTCTTCACGGATGTTTAGTTTTTTTCTGAACACTACCTTAATGTACAAGTAGCTGAAACTCGCTCATTCAGAGGCGGGAACCAGCAGACATGCAACAACATTAATCATAAGGCAAACACAAAACAAAAGGCTTCATCTGGAGCTACTTCATGGGACTCGACACTTGTAAACACTCGCTCTATCTGGCTTGCGGCTCTCAGCACTGCCTACAGCGCTACCAAGCCAACCAATCACAGAGCTTGCACTACGTGGTTGCTACGTGTAGTTACATTTTTTGAGAGGTGCTCGTCAGACACGTCGAAGGGTCTGTGACCACGCAAAGGCTGCACCAAAGCAACGCTTGCACTTGATGCAAAAGTATAAATCAGCCATTACCATTAATTAGATGTTGAAAATCTGAATGCATATTTAGACAAATGGCTGCATCTGAGCAAGTGTCGTGATGACGTGTGCAAGAAGTACAGCATCAAGCACTCAAACAGTTGATTTTGGGCATTGCTGGACATTAAAAGAGCTCCCCATTCACACGGGGCTTCAGCATCAACGCTTGACTAAAGGTGTGTCTGAAGTTGGAGCTGAAGCGATCGTCATAGCAGCGTCTAGCTGGTGAATTTGCATACAGCGATCTGATTGGCTGACACTGGCAGCTCCGATGGATCCACAATGCAGTTCGGCAACGCCTGACGTCACCCATTAAAAATGAATGGGAAGCGTTGACACTGACGCCCCATGTGAATGGGGCGTTAGGGCGAACTCACATTAGGTACAGTTGACTTGAACCATGACAAAGCGCGATTGTCCCTGTCAGCTGAGCTGTCTATAACATTACTATATGTATATGATGGTCATATGGGGGACAAAATATTTTAGAAATATTTACAATATAATAAAAATACACAAATCCAGTTCATAAAATGAAAACACGATTCAAAAATACACAAATCCAATTCATTTAGTGAAAGTATTTATGATTTTTAATTGTGAATTCACATATTGACAACACACAATTCATAAATTGCATTTTCAATTTACAAATTGGATTTTGTAAATGTGAATTGTGCTGTGCATGTTTGAACTTTATTTTGTACATGTATTATTTTAGAAACTGATCCATATAAAAAAAAGACTTGTTTCCGTGGAAATTTAAAAGTTAAGCGATTTGATGTGAATTGAAGGGATTTGCTTGGAAAATATATATATATTGGCCCATGTTTGAGCACTAAAGTCCAACTCTTTAACATTGTAAATAGCTCTGTAAACAAGTAGCACTGGACAACACCTTTAAATTGTCGGTAATGCCTTAGGGGTAAGAAGCTTTAACATGGGTACAAATCTACAGATACAATTTTATGATTTGCTAACTACAGTAAATAAAATGTAAAGCTTAATACAGTTAAAAGTATATGAATGTCTAGAAAAAATACTATTATCTGTTCATCCCTAATGCTTAGTTTGGGCACCCCTTTGTGGCTGCAAGATAAGGTGTTTTTTTTATGAAAGGTTTCTAGGAAAGCTGCATGATGTCATGTTTTCCAGACAGAAATATGTAATGTAGCAATAACTGAGATTTGTAAAATTGAATCTGAAATTTGTAAAATTGAATCTGTAAAATAGGCTGTGCAAAAGTCTATCCACTCTTTTGTGTGAATTTTAAAACGTGTAGTGTGATTGTGGTTACAACACAAAATTAATTTGAGTGACTCAGTGAACCTTAACTATCTTAACACTTGTGAAACCAATCCTAAAAAAGAATATTTAAAATAGCCTATTGCTTTTTGTGCTTCTCCATATTGTGAATCAGAAAGTAGAAACATGAGAACCTCATAGGAACTTCCTAATGACCCCTAATTCTTTAATGTGTATAGGAGAATGATTCAAAAAGCAATCACAGAGGTTTAAAATCTCTATTTGACAGTCTCACAGTCAGAAATATGGTAAGAAAATGTAAGGTCACAGGTAGAGTTCTTGCGAGGGAAAGATGTGGTAGGCCAAGAAAAATATCTGAAAGTCAATGGTGAAGGTAAAGAATGGTTAGAATGGTCACAGACAAACCACAGACAACCTCCAAAGAGCTCTAGGAACATCTTGCTGCTGATAATGTTATTGTACATTAGGGCTGGGCGATATGGCAAAAATGCAAACTCAATA